CTGCAACAATCTTAAATTTTAGGTTTCAATTTACTGCATTAAATCTCACATTTGTATTTGCATTCGAATTGGACAAAATAAGACTTTTGGTGAAGAAAGGCAACTCGTACCGAACACCTCGATTGCAATAACGACTTACAATTTATTACATGTCGAAAATAAACTTCGAATAACTTTTCGTAGGGGGCAACAAAATTACTGCAGCAGGCCAAAATACATGTTTAAGTTGATGACAGAGAATGTGTGCTAACACAAATATGTGGAGCCGAATAAGCATTTGCAGATGTTTGGATTTCTGGAAATCTGCCTTTATCAAGTTGCCAGTAAAAGTCAACAAAATAAAGCTGCTGGTGTCTTCCGTGATAGCTGTTGCATAACTCTCCATTTGCGCAGCGATGTTGTCCTGTGGAAACTGTCAATGACCTCTTTCAACAGGGTTCTGCTTGTGACAAGTGTCTTTGGAAAAGTTGCAGCTTGGTTACAAAGGCCTTGATGTGTGTATATAAATGGATCACCTCTGCATTTTTTCCTTGAAGATTAACATTCAGCTCATTCAGATGCTTTGTTAGGTCAACCAAAAAAGCTAAATCTGCTAGCCATACAGGATCTGACAGTTCTTGCATCGGTTGCTCCTTTTCACCCAAATAATGTCCAATTTCCCCTCAGAGAGAAACATCACAGCTCAAGTGCGCTAGAATTTGAAAATACACAACCGGAAAAAATCTGCCACTTACTTACAGAGCCCCACATGACCAATGAGGACATGAGATAAGTTTGTGCACAGATGGAAGGCTGACAGGCAGGTATGCCATCCAGTTACTTTAGTCGGGCCGGCTGAAATGATTGGTCGTGCTTTTAACAGTATTACAGCTTCCATAGATGACATTTTTTAATGGATTTTTTTGTCAAAGCACTTAAGATATTCATTGCTATTGGGATGTTAAGAGCATTCCATGGAATATAACAAAAAGTGTATCTCGAGCCGGTTTCTCAAACTTACCTACCCCACCTTTAATGATCATACATACCTGCCAACCCTACCGATTTGGGCGGTAGTCTACCGCTTTTGACATGTTTCTACCGCCTACCGACTTAGGGGGCTTTCCCTACCGATTTTCAATCTTCCCAAACTATAACAAATAAAAATGACACTACATAGACACTGGACTCGACTTTTGGCGGACACCGTTTGCAGTGTGTCTGTGATCGCATCATACAAACAGTCCTCTGTGTTTCTGAAAGAGAAACAACGTGCAGACCGGTTAACGCTGCCTTTCCTCTTCACCCCCGGGGCTGATGGGTAATCACTCCCAAATGAGTGAGGGAACAGAGACGAGGCATTTGAGTCCTGCAGGATTTCCCTGTTAGTATCAGTGTCTCGAAAACACATGTTGGCGACTGAAAGACATCCAGTGTTTGGTCTTTTCCTGCATCCTTCACCTACAGTGTCTCAACTGAAAGAGGACCACAAACACACAAAAATATAATACAATTTTAGAGATATTTATCTCCCAGTCTTTCACTTTTTCTGACATTTTCAACACCAAACATGTCGTTAATGTCTCTGTTTAGTGAACTACAGCAATCTGAAAGCCTGTACATTATTTATATCACACTTTATCAGTAGAGAAATGTAGGAAATGACTTTTTTAATGCAGTATTTTCTGATTTATGGCGCAACACAAAGATATTTCGCTCTGTGCAAACCTTTGACTCTAATATGTCAACAACATGAAACAAGAATATGAACCTGGCTTTATCCAATGTTCAAACAAGAGTTCTACATCCTGACACATCCTTCATCTACACTGTCTCAACTGAAAGAGGACCAGAAACACATTAAAAATATAATAAAATGTGAAGACTTCGGGATATTTATCTCCCATTCTTTTACTTTTCGGGCATTTTACAGACCAGACATGTCGTTGATGTCACTGTTTACCAAACTACCACTTTTTCGGAAAAATGCATAAAATGATGCAATATATGTTAAATACATGGTTTATACATGTAATTACTGGGGTTCCATTTCTTCTGATTACCTAATTTGTGCGTGCAAGTTTGCCGCGCGCAAACCTACCTCTTTTGGATTTGGAAAGGTTGGCATGTTTTTGTGCATGTAAATGGTCTGCAAAGGATAAAATCACGGTTGTCCGAGTGAACAATCACCACAGGGCCAGCCAGCTAACCGATCAGAGAAGACTGTGCTCTGGTTTGAGACAGAGGGTGAAAAGATGTGCTGCAGCACAGGCAAAATAAACATTAAAGCTTGTAAATACGTCACAGGAGAGGAACAAAATACAAATGTGAACCTGAAACTGAGCATAATATTTCCTCTTTAATGTTTAGATGGATTCCATGGAATCTGGCCAGGTTTCCTGTGACATTTGTGTAATGTTATTGGGACTTAATTATAAACTAAAATGACTAAACAGAAAATCTGAATAAGTAACTAAAGCAGTCATAGAAATTGGAATAAAAAAGGACAATATTAACCATTGAAATATAGTGTACCCAGAGCATAAGTACCTCAAAATTGTAGTTATATTAACATTATAATTGAACAAACTTCAAAAAAGCAAAAGTCTTCAAATGTTAAATGCTTGCTGAAACCATTAAATGATGGGCAAGTTTGAGTTGACAGTTGAAGTTTGATACCCAACCAACCAAAATCCACATGAGTGATCTCATCTATCATTACCAGATCTCAGGGAAAGCCTTCACACTGGAGACCCTGGACAGGAAGACGGTGTCCTTTGAACAGGAGATCAGAGAGTCCTGTCTGTGGCTGCGCTGCGTTCCTGCTCCTGACAGGTGTCAGCGCTGGAGGTGGAGGGTCAGATACGGGAAGCTGGAACTTCGAGAATGAGATTTTAGTTATTTCCTTGTTGTCATTTACACTACTTGAATAGATTGTTCTAAAGACGTCAGGATGTAAACATGTGTACTAAATAAGTTTTGCTACTGTTATGACTGAATTTCCTGGATGAAATAGCCTGTATTTGTAGGAATTATATGAATTTCATCAATAAGATGTGACTTTAAAGATGCCTTTCTATTTTTAAAGATGTTCTTTTTTTATATTCTTAAATTGCCTTACTTTTATTTGCTGGCAAAAGAGATCAATATTTAAGTATGCTTCTTAGCGTCATCTCTGATCTGGAAACTAGAGTATGTCATGTTTGTTGGTGCTTCTTAACTGCCGTTTAGGAGTAAAGGTGCTTCAAACAATGATTAACCTTCATATTACAATATAAGCTCTCAATACATTAATCCTTGAAGGTTACTGACACTTTATATATTAATAAAAGATGACATCAGAGGCAAAGAAGTTCTGTCTTCTGCTTGTTTTAAAGTTCTGTTTCCTTTCATTCATAATGTGGTCAATGCAGCTTCAGTAGAAGAAGGGATACACTCAACACACACTCGCTGCTGGAATGCTCTCTTGCGACCATAGACTTAGACCGGAGCTGTAGCCTATAGAACATTTAAAACACTAATAAAACAACTTGCACAAAGAAAGTTGATGTGACTGCAGCACATGTTAAACAGGGTTTCACACATGATCAGATCACATGACTTGGCCTCAAGACTTTTCCTCTCAATACAAACTACACAAAATAGGATTTATAACAATGCTCCAGCAAGTGATGTCACCGAGGTCATGTATGGGAATTTTGTTACCTTTTTAGGAAACAGGGTGTTTTTTTTACAATTAAAACATTTTGGTGGATATTTTATAGCCGATTATCTTATATTGTTAAACTACATATATTTCTTCTATATTTTGGTCTCTCAAACTGTCTATACATACATGTAGATTGGTATTTCAACCAAATTAAGAATTGTAGTTTTGGAAATGCATTATTATTTACATGGTAGATAAAATACCTATGATTCAAAAATAATTTTCCAAATTAAGAATTGTAATTGTTGGTGTCTGCCACAAAATGTGTTGTTGTGGAGGATTTGGCCAATATTTGTTAAAATTCTGTTCAAATAAGGTATGATGTTTGAGGAATGTAGAGCTAACAGGGTCACTGAAGCAGCTCCTCCTATAGTAAATATTTAAACATGGCCTACCACCTTTTGACAGGCCTTACTGAAAAGTGTTACTCTTATTTCCTTCTTCTTGGCCTAACAAATAGCATTTATCTTTCCAGCAGGATACTTAATGTAAGGATAAGAATGGCTGTTCCTTCTGGCCTGAATAAACTAGTGATCCGGGGCTTGAGGCCAGCTGGTTAGAATAGAAAGGGATCTTTGTTGACTTTCAGCAGGTGTCCAGTAGCTCAGAAATTACACATGTCAACACAAAGGTTAATAGAAGACTGGTTCTGCCTTGAATCTGCAGCTTGAACAAAGGAAGTGGAAAGTGCATTAAACATGTACAAAATAAATGTCACATTTAAGTAAAGTCAGGTCTATTTTTTTTCTAGTTTAAACCACAAACAGTCCTTCAGTCTGTACAGTTTACCACACCTTCTGTCCTTGAAAACTAGATTTGGATAAGGGAAAAAACAACAACAGGGAAGAAGGGAAGAAACCTGAGTAAGAGAACCTGAAGGATCCTGTTCTCTGGGATGATGTAATTAATGTGAATGTACAAACTCCCAACAGTGTAAATACTCCAGTTCGAGTAAAAATCTTCATATTCAAACATTACTTTTCCTCATTAAACATAGGTTTATGAAGAAAGTGTACTTGAAGTATTGATTGTGCTATAAAATTTTCCTGTCAGTGTTTCACACTTATATTCAATTTTTTTTAAATTAATATTACTGCTGTATTAATGTGAGTGTGTTGTTTTATATTTGTGTTATGAGGGTTGTGGCGAGTCAAATGTAAAAAAATGCATTATATTCCATTAGATCATTATATGTTTGTCGCTGTCCTGAGTAAACTTTCCCAAGCTCAGACGAACAGCCCTGTTTTAAGCTTTTTGCCCATGCATTTTCCAGCTAACCGAACATAACACAAGACATAAAGAAACATTTCATCTTTCAGGTTACCATAAAAATATAAACAACACATACAGATAGAAGATACATGGTTTTCAATGGACAGAGAGGGGATAACAAGTTGTAATTGTAATTCGGAAAGTTACTTGGTGGGGTAGATAATTTTGGAGAAAATCTGCCACTTCCTTACAGAGCCCCTCCTCCAACACACACGAACGCGCACATGACCAATGAGGGTATGAGATAAGCTTGTGCACAGATGGAAGGCTGACAGGCAGGTAAGCCATCCAGTTATTTTAGCCGGGCCGGCTAAAATGATTGGTCGTGCTTTTTACAGTACTATGGCTTCCACAGATGATTTTTTTCATGGATTTTTTGTCAAAGCATTTAAGATATTCATTGCTATCGGGATGTTAAGAGCATTCCATGGAATATAACAAAAAGTGTATCTCGAGCCGGTTTCTCAAATTTACCTACCCCACATTTAAGATGTCTTTATGGAGCTAGCTGTGTGCAGGGATACATTGTCATGTTGAAACAGGAAAGAGGCAAACACAGTCTCTTGCCACACAGTTGGAAACACACCATTGTCTATTGTATTATTGAACCAAGGCCCAGGTCCAAACCATGATCTGTAGTCTATGAGAAATAATCCAGAATACCATTTTGACAAACTGGATTATTGAGCACATGCAAGAAAACCCACACAGAGTCAAGTCAGTCATTCAGTTTGGTTGATGAACATGCACGTTGAGGGTCTCTTGTGAAAATACAAGAAGTTAACGGAGTTGATGAAAGGTTTATCAAGCCTGCACTCTTTGACAGCTCTAACTAGATTTCTCAATACAGTTTGGTTACCTCTCTGTGCTATTGAACACAAAACTAGCCCAGCCAATGCAGACTAAATGGAAGATTATTGGTGTATTTTGTTTGTGAAGAGACCAGGGTTGGTAAAGTGGGGGCAAACAGCCCCTTTGCCATCCTTTCTTGGTTAACTCTTATCTTAAATTTTGACTTGCATTATGATTTCAACTTACATATCACTAAAGCTTCGTGTCTGTCTCTTGCATGCTTGTAATGCTATTAGTGTGTCAAAAAACTATCCCAGGACATACACACAGACTCAAAAGGTGAAAAGAATACCAGCGTCAATGGCAGGTAATAATAATGCTTGTATGCTCCCTTTGATTTAGACCAAAACAAGAATGTACTGGGTTACTTATTGGACAATGCTACACCCTTCCACCAAGTTTCACAAAAATCGGTACAGTAGTGTTTGCCTAATCCTGCTGACGATCAGAAAAACAAAGGGCACTCTGAGAGTATAAAATTGTAAATGTTGTTTAATTAGTTCTTCCTGCTACTCCATTTACGCAAGATTCATGAAAACATCCTTGGAAAAGGTAAAAAGGATGTATTATAGATGGAAACCAACATACAGTAGCTCATTGTTAATTATTGTCAATTAGCAGCACATTTTAGAGGATTTAATCTATAAAGCATCAGTAGGCCTACATTTTTTATATTCCTGAATTTGTTTCTCGGTTCCTGTAGCTGCATGAAACCCGCTTGTAGCCCTGTGTGGAATTGTTTTTATGGATGTAGATTGAGTTAAACCCATGCCAAGTGTCCTACAATGTGGGACAATAAAGTCAATCCTTATCCTTGTTATTCACTTTGTCTGAAACTTGAATAAACTTGTGTGCGGTTCACTTCCTCGACATTTTGTGCAATGTGCACAGAGGAATCTGTCGACGCTGTGATTGGCCAAAAGGACAACAGAGGGCGGGTTATTAGTTACACCATTTGCACTGTGATTGGAGCAGGTTTTATACTGGGAAGTGCCTGTACGCCGGTGTCTCCCTGGTTGCGCAAGACGCCATTTTGAAGTGACAGTGAAGATAACGGAAAGATCGAGAAGCTGTCTTTCTGAAGGTAATAACCCACACTTACGTGCTGATTTTGTGCTTTAAAATTATACATTGTGTGAATTAAACGTTTCTCTGTACGGAAGACTATTTTTCTCCCGCGTTAAACACGACGTCATGGTTTTCTCTCTTTACTGTGACGCGGCATTTAGCTAACTGTAGCTAACGTTAGCCTTCTTGCTAAAGGCAGTTCCTGTAACGTTAACCGTCGGATCAGAGAGCTGTCACTGTCAGTTTAACAAAATACTTGACCTAAATTTCACCGGCCAATTTTTCAAAGCATGTCGAGGTTAAATATGTTTACAATCCGTCACCGAATTATTTAAACAGCGGTGCTCTTTCGACCGTTCCCGTCCGAAAAATGGTGTCGCTCCCGCTAGCACCAAGCTAACATAAGCTAGCAAGCTAACAAGCTGAAGCATCCGCCCTTAGTAATGATAACGGTCAACTTGTTCGAGTTTTAGAAACCAGATTATGCCATCCAACTCCGGTTATTAACATATCTAAGATATTAAAAGAGTCCCCACACCATAACTCGCACATTTCATCCGGATTGACACGAACGTAGTTGTATCGTAGGCCTTTAGGTCGAGGTGTTGTTAGCCAGTTAGCGTCTTGTGACGGCTTTCACATACAGTAACATTATCCCTGCTAGTGCACATAGGGAGGGATAGAGGTGACCAGCTGGAACAGGCCTCTCTTATCTGGTGATCAGCTAGCCATTCAATTTATCCGGGATAACAATCTAGCTGCTTTTGCTATGTTTTTTTTAATCGTATTATGATCAAGATTGCTGTATAAATCACACGACGTCGTGAAAATAATGCAGAGACACGTCAAATATTGTTTGATGTTGACGGCTTGAGCTGGCTGCTAACGTCAACCATACATTAACGTTTAACCATTAGCTTAAGCAAACATTTCACTTTAGTTCCCACAGTGTTATATTTATTTTGCCACCTTCAGGGTCGGCGACAATTGAACTTTTTACTTGGCCAAATATACTGCTGCCATCGATCTGCAGTGCTGGAAGTGGATATTTTACTAGAAAAAGTGACTAAACAAAAGTGTTAAAATACTTAGTTAGAATTGGATAAAAAGTCAATTCAAAAGCACCGGTTTGAAAAATAAACATTATGTACCAAACATTCATTATGCAGAATGGCTTATTTGGGAATTATGCATTAGCTGGATTTTAATCACTTTTAAAATCTCTTTTTTTTTTTTTTATTGTAAACTCTCAAACAATACCACAATTTTACCAGTTTACCACCAGTATACAGTCTGAATTATCTTCTTGGTACAGTTTTGGTTCCTCCTTTCCTTTTGGCATATACTATACTGAAACTAAAACACTAAGTGTTTCTCTCCTAACCCTGTTTCCTTCTCTAATTTGACAGCTTCGTCACCATGGGGAATGTATTTACAAGCTTATTCAAAGGCCTGTTTGGCAAAAAAGAAATGAGGATTCTTATGGTTGGGCTTGAT